CTGGACTACAGCCCACTTCTTCGGATGCATAAGTTATGCATCCGAAGAAGTGGGCTGTAGTCCACGAAAGCTTATGCTCTAATAAATTTGTTAGTCTCTAAGGTGCCACAAGTACTCCTGTTCTTCTTTTTACTTATAAGTGGTTGAATTTCTGCGCATAGGAGGAGCATACAATACTCATCAACATGACTTAACAAGGTCATATCTTGTGCACGTGAAAGCGAGCAGCGAGAGTGATGATTAGGTCAGCCAATAAATTTTTTAATCACAGGCGTGGGGGTGTAGGCCGCTCCGGCCTTGCAGCCACGGGCGCAGTGTGCCGCAGCCGTGAACTAGCAATTCGGGAGCTGTGTGTTCCTACATTCCCTCCTTTTTTGTTTTAAAAGCGGTGTTTAGACAGGGCACCCTCGCAGGGTCGCATACACAGTGCTACCAGGCTAGGTATACATTGAACAAAGCAGCACAGTGAAATGCCAAGGACCAAAGTTAGGACCCCATATGTTAAACTGCAGCTGCTGCTTTATCTGGGGCTCACCTTGACAACCAGGAGCCAGCAAAAAACCTCTTAGTATGCACAAAATAAGGAGCAAGTTAGCATTAAGGCAAGCTAGTAATGTCACAAGATAATTTTCTGCGGTAGGTTCCAGCTGCTGCTGCACTCGCAACTGCTCGGCCTGCAATGAGAGGGCCTTAACTTGTCCCCAGGTCATGCGCTTCGGGGGCTGAGGTGGACGGAAAAGAACTGTTGCAGAGTGAGAAAAAGGGCCAACAGGTTGTCATCACAGGAGGGCGACACATAGGAGCCTGGAAGAGACTTAAGAACATTAGCAACATAACCCATAGGCTGTATAATTTTGTTAATGGCGCGAAGATCCTGCAGGAGGCGCCATTTACCAGATCTCTTTTTAATAACAAATACGGGTGTATTAAATGGGCTAGTGGATTCTTCTAAATGCCCTGCCTGTAGCTGGTCATTGACCAAGTGCTGGAGGGCCTCCAGCTTTTCTAAAGGAAGCGGCCACTGCGCAACCCAGACGGGCTCGTCAGTGAGCCAACAGAGGGGGAGGGCCGTACGCCTAATCATCAATATGGATGGTGGCAGCAAACTGCGTTAATAAATCACAGCCCCACAGGTTGAGGTGGACGGGGAGAATGATGGGCCGGATACAGGCGCGGCGGGTGCCCTGGGGCGCCCTAACCTCCAACCATCGGGCGCTCCGTTGCGAGTCCTGCGCCCCGCCCACACCCCAGACAGCCGGAGCCTGCTCCGTGGGCCAATGGGCGGGCCACTGCGCGGCGGCGATGACGGTGACGTCTTCCCCAGAGTCGATGACACCCTCGAACGGCTGATCGTCGAGGCAATAAACACGTTTAGGTTGGGGTGATCCAATGTCTTTAACGACCGCTGCTACTTGTGGGTGAATAGTGCGCTGGCTGGTGGACCCGAAACCGCCGGTTCGGGGGACGTTTCTTCCCCCTGCTGGAAGGGAGTAGGGCACAAGTATAAGTTGTGCCCAGGCATCTCCCTGAAACAGTTGTTTTGGCAGATGACTCCACAGCTGAACGTGGATAATTCCACCATAGTCCGAGTCCACCACCCCAGGCACCACAAACAAGCCCTGCTTGCTGGCAGACGAGCGGGGCAGAACAAGGCCCACCGTGCCCTCCGGCAACGGGCCCTGAATTTGAGACGGCATAAGGAGGACCTCCCCAGGGAGAGTTATATCCATATTTTTCTGATTGACAAGGTCAATCCCCGCACTGCCCCTTGTGGCGGCGGGAACATCGTGCACGGAGAGGGGCGCGGCCTTTGGCCTCGGGCTGGTCGCAGGCCCGACTACGAGTTTCCCGGGGGGTTGTCCTGA